CTCTCTCTCTCTCTAGTCTTATCTCTCTGCTAGAAGAAATGCGACCGTACGCTTTTGACGTTGGGGCCACCCGCTAACCTAATTGAAGAAGAAGAGAGGGAGGGTGCAGGGTGTTTAGGGGCCCCACTTCTCCTTTCTAACTGGGTGTGGGTGGGTGGTGTCCCTGCACGTAAGAGAGAGAAAGAGGTTACAATGAAAATCACAGGATCTTTCTCTCTCTTCCAAACCCCATAGAGAGAGAGAGAGAGAGAGAGAGCGCTGTTCACGAGCGAGATGTGAGACCTCTGCTTGCTGTCTCCATTCACGGGAGGTGGAGAGAGAATTAATTTTATCAAGAGATGGAAGGGAAATGTGTATATGGAGCTCGGTTTCACTTCACATGAGGAGGCAGTCAGAGAGAGTAAGATTTTACTGTTTTGACATGCCATGCGATGCCATGCGCACTGTTTTTATTATTAAATGAATGGGGGGGTGTTTTTTTTGTAAGGTTTTGCAGCGCGACGATGGGCGATTATGAAGGGACGTGAACCACATGCCCTCCCTCCCTCCCTCCCTCGTTTTCGGAGCCACACAGTATCAGCAGCACTTTCTTACAAAATCTCTCTCTCACTGCTTCTGGATCCGCTTACGCTATCCATCCATCTTCTGATCCATTTTTCTTCTTTCTCACTCATTCGCCATTGCACCTTGCTCACAGTCTTTGTTGCAGTGAGTGGGGAGGGAGCAAGGGAGAGATAGAGTGAGAAGGCCTTCTTTCTCTCTCTCTCTCTCTCTCCCTCTTCTCTTCTCCTCTCCTCTCCTCTCCTCTCAGAGGGAAGGGAAGGGAAGGGAAGGAAAGGGAAGGGAAGCCTTCTCTTCCTTTCTATTCCATGGCTCTTAGCATTTCTTCTTCTTTGACCTCCTTCTCACTCTCATCATAACTCCACTTCTCAACCCATTATAGCAAGATTTGATCTCCATCCTCTCAAAGCGATTGTTATACTTGTGGCTTTGCTTCCTATGAGTTTTGGGGAGTTCTTGGAGTGGAGTCAGTGTAGTACCCGGGCGGTCGGTAGCAATATGCCTGCTCCTGCTGCTTCTCAGCCCCCCCGCCTTCTCTCCTCCCCGGTCTTCACTAGACCTGCGCCAGAAACCATGTTCATCTCACCTGCCCTCTCTCTAACTCTGGTAATCTTCAAAAACCTCTCGCTCTCTCCCTCCCCACTGCTAATGTACACAAGACACACGAGCAATACCCACCTTCTCTTGCCTGCACTGGCAAACACCTCTCTCCTCTTTCAATTTATTTCAGCTTGGTTTTCTAGCTACAATTTTCTCTGTCTCTCTTATCTTTCGATTTATTTGAGCTTGATTCCTGGCCTTTCAGACGAGCAACATGAGCGGCGGCGGTGGTGCCATGGGGCTCGGCGATGGACAAGGTGAGATGGGAGGGGGTAGGATGTCAACGGTGATGGGGGCGGCCGGAGAATTGGATGCAGGGAAGAGCAGTAACAACAACAACAACAATAGCAGCAGTAATAACAGAGATTTGGATGGGTATGAGAGCAGATCAGGAAGTGATAACAACATGGATGCCGGGTCTGGTGATGACCAAGATGCCGACAACCCACCTAGGAAGAAGAGATATCACAGGCACACACCACAGCAAATTCAAGAGCTCGAAGCGTAAGCATCATCCTCTTCAACTCTTTCTTTGTTGATCTTAGTGACAGCATCTCTCTCTCTCTCTCTCTCTAACTGCTGCAGGCTCTTCAAGGAGTGCCCTCACCCAGATGAGAAGCAGAGGCTGGAGCTGAGCAGGCGGCTCAACCTCGAGAGCAGGCAGGTCAAGTTCTGGTTCCAGAATCGAAGGACCCAAATGAAGGCAAGCTTCAAATTCCATCACTCTTTTTAACTCTCTCTCTGCAATGGTGATACATCACATCTCTCCACATGCAATTCTATGTAATCTGAGATGAAGTGCTGATTAATCTCTCTCTGATACTGAAAATAGACCCAGTTGGAGAGGCAAGAGAACTCTATCCTGAGGCAGGAGAACGATAAACTGAGAGCAGAGAACATGTCGATAAGAGATGCCATGAGGAACCCCATCTGCACCAACTGTGGTGGTCCTGCTCTACTTGGAGAGATGTCCCTCGAAGAACAGCACCTCAGGATCGAGAATGCACGCCTCAAAGATGAGGTTCTCTCTACCCCAAATGCTATTACTAAGATAAATAACCACAACTTGTCAATTGAAAGTTGAATAGGGCAGTGAGAAGACACGTATTGCAATCATGGCAATTTGATTATTTACAAAGCAATTGTCTCTAATTTGCAGCTGGATAGGGTCTGCACTCTCGCTGGGAAGTTCCTTGGAAGGCCCATCCCATCTGTTCCTTCGGTGCCCCATCGCTCTTCTTTGGATCTTGCCGTGGGAAGCAATGGATTCAGTAGCCCAATGGTAGACCCGACAGCACCTGCTGCTTCGTTGCCCCAAGGTGCTGATTTCATCACTGGGCCGCAGCTAAATGTGATGGGGAGAGCAGGGAATCCCGAGAGATCGATGCTTGCAGAGCTCGCATTGACAGCAATGGACGAGTTGGTGAAAATGGCCCAAGCTTCTGAACCTTTGTGGATTCCAAGCTTTGAAGGTGGGAGCGAGACCCTCAATTATGAGGAGTATCTGCTGGTCTTCCCAAGGTGCATTGGGCCGAGACCTCTCGGTTATACGTCTGAGGTGACAAGGGAGATGGGCAATGTCATCATCAATAGCCTCGCTCTCGTCGAAACTCTCATGGATGCGGTGAGCCGGTTGAATTTGATTTTTACCCTCTTGAACTGTCCTATAATGCTTCATCTGAAATCTTATTTTGTTGGTTGAGCTTTCTACATTGGTTTGCAACTGATTCTCTATATCAGTGCCCGAGTCGGCATTGATGCCGGGTATCTGATGAACCCCGAGGGAGAAGCCCGAAAATGGGGCAATTCTCCTGTGGGTCTGTTCTTATTTTCCCAGAAAATTGGCCAAGTCGTCGGACTCGACTGATTCTGTGACTGGTGTGGGCTTGGGACACTGGAAAGTCCGAGCCTGAGTTTTTATTTTAGATGCCGCTCCATGTGTATTAACGACTGCTGAAATTGAGCAGAAACGATGGACCGAAATGTTTCCATGTATAGTCTCCAGAGCAACCACTACAGATGGAATATCGAGTGGGATGGGTGGAACCCGGAATGGTGCTCTTCGACTGGTATCCCCTCATTTTCCTGGATTCTTGGTTTGCATTTCTTTGATGTGAGAAGTTGTGTATTCTTTTTCTTTATGGTCCTTTTTCAAAACTTTTATCGAGCTTTGTAACGCTACAAACATGGTTCAACTCGGGTGGATTTCTGTTGAGAATGAGATTTTGAAACTGTTATAAGTTAACATGTGCTGGTATTGAATATTGGCAATTGAGGAGTTTTGGGTTCTCCCTGAACAGATGCAGGCAGAGCTCCAAGTTCTGTCACCCATGGTTCCAGTGCGAGATGTCCAGTTCCTCAGATTCTGCAAGCAACACGCGGAGGGATTATGGGCAGTTGTTGATGTATCCGTCGATGGCCTCAAAGAAGACACTCCTTTAGCTCCTTACCCCAAATGCAGGAGGCTGCCTTCCGGCTGCCTTGTTCAAGACATGCCTAATGGATACTCAAGGGTATCTGTCTCTCTGCAGCTCTTTCATTGGAATCATAGACCGTTTTCTGTATCATTCATCGTCTAGACCTCTTTCACTTTCTCCTGTTAATTTGATGAATTTGTGGCAGGTAACATGGGTGGAACATATCGAGTATGATGATCGTGGGGTTCATCCGCTGTATCAATCTCTGCTCAAGTCTGGAACAGGCTTCGGAGCTCAGAGATGGGTCGCCAATCTCCAGCGCCAGTGTGAATGCCTAGCCCTCCTAATGGCCTCAAACATGCCAGGCAGAGATCCTGCAGGTAGTTTTTACCTCTCTTGCGACTTCTCATCATAACTTCGAATCTAGCCTCTTTCAACTTGTGCAGCATTATTTTCTAAACTAGAAATCATGGAATTGAAGTGCTTCTCAATGTGGCCTTGTTTGTTTGTACCTCCTTTTTCCTAGCTTGTCATAAAACTCTTTTCGGTTTGAACTTGTCATGGAAATTTGTTGGTTTTCTCCTCAACTTTGATCGATGGACACGGATTGTGTGTCTTGTTTGTTCGTTCCAGCCATCACACCTGCAGGGCGACGAAGCATGTTGAAGCTCGCACAAAGGATGACCAACAATTTCTGTGCGGGTGTAAGTGCTTCTACAGTTCACAAGTGGAACAAAATTTCAATGGGGAATGCAAGTGATGATGTGCGCGTAATGACAAGGAAGAGCATTGATGATCCAGGGGAGCCTCCCGGTGTAGTCCTCAGTGCCGCTACTTCAGTCTGGCTGCCTATCTCTCCACTCAGACTCTTCAACTTCTTACGGGATGAACATCTCAGGAGCCAGGTAAATCTCAGATTTCAATAAAATACTTGGGCTACTTTTTATTGCTTCTCCTGAATTATTCTGCAACTAACATATGGATTGAATGAATTACAGTGGGATATACTATCAAATGGAGGGCCTATGCAGGAAATGGCCCACATAGCCAAAGGACAGGATCACGGCAACTGCGTATCACTCCTTAGAGCCAATGTATGCCTTATTGGACATCTCTTTACTTGTCCTAATAGTGCATTTACTGGCTTCGCCCACTCTTATTGTTTTTATAGATATACAAATTTTGGCTTTAGAGGCCCCTAGATTAATATTTTTGATTTCTGTTTATGTTATTAGAAAGAATCCGCCAATTTCATAGACAGAATTCATCCGCCAATTTCATAGCTCTCATGCCACAGAATTCTTGCCACTGTTTTTTTTTTTTTAAGGGAGGGAGATGACCTAGGGAATTTCAGAGAGAGGGTTTTCTAATAGATGAAAACAGGGAGAGGATAATTCTTGCCACGTTTAGATCGAAACTATCTGTCTGGCTATGAAAAGTTCTTTCACAAATTTGGTCCTACATTTATCCATGCATATGTTAATTTTTTCTTGCAGGCAACTAATTCGAGCCAAAGCAGCATGCTGATATTGCAGGAGACTTGCACTGATGCAGCAGGGTCGTTGGTGGTGTACGCTCCAGTGGACATCCCGGCAATGCACGTGGTGATGAGTGGTGGGGACTCGGCATATGTGGCTCTCTTGCCTTCCGGTTTTGCCATTCTTCCTGATGGTAACAATAGCAATAACAACAAGGATGGTGGTGGTGGTGGGGTAGGGTGGGGTCAGGGTGAGAAGCTAAGAACGGAGGGTTCACTCCTTACTGTGGCATTTCAGATTTTGGTGAGCAGCCTGCCCACCGCAAAGCTTACGGTGGAGTCGGTAGAGACTGTGAACAATCTCATATCATGCACTGTTCAAAAGATTAAAGCTGCCCTTAATTGTGAGGATGCTTAGTTTGTTGTAGACAAAAAAGAAAGGAGTGGGGATTGAGAGGGAGGAGATGGGCAGAGGGGTTGAGTCAAGAACGCACCGCCTAATTCCTTGGTTCTTGTTCGACCCCGTCGGTGGAAGTGCAAGAGCAAGGGTGGTGGTTCGGGTATTGACTCTGCACCCTATTCTCCTCCCTCTTTCTTTCTCCTTTCTACAATCCTGACACCCAATGTACTTGGATAATACTTTCCAACTTTTCATCCCTTGTGTCTGGTTTCTCCGTTTGAAAAGAGCTTTACAGATGGTGGTCGCTTTTGTTCATGACTTTTAGGCATGGCCCCAGCTGAACAAGGCATCCTAAAGAGAGAACTTCTTGTATTTCTTTCTTGCACAAGCACATTTATGAGCTTTTCTGGTCCACCTTTGATTCTTAATTGCTGTGCAATTTTGGTGTTAGGAACAGGAGTGGGAGTAGATGGGAGGGGGACCATGCTTCTTGTTGGGTGGGGAGAAAGAATTAATGGGAGGTAGGTAACAAACTTATAGATTGGTCTTTCATGTATTTATTCCAAGTAGATGATCCCTAGGCACCACAACCACAGTCCAAATAGTTTTGGGGGGGCATTCAATCTCACTCCCCAACTGTATATCCCTGTTCCTTTAATTAGACCTGCTAAGAAGTGGCCTGTGACCACCACACTAGTCCACATCAAGACAACGCACATATGGCCATCGTGTTCCAGCCTTGTGGCTAAGGTTCTTGCTGTTATATTCAAAACATAAGTAACATGGTACATTTTTATGTTGGAAAACATAAATAACTGCAGTTTCTCTCTGAAGTCCACCTACCATCCCTTCTATGCTTGCATTTGCATCATCATCAATCACTTTGTTAGAGAAAGAATACTCTATGCTTTCTCTTTTTCACTGTTTAAAAACCCAGATCAATGGGTCGTTTAAAAACCCAGATCAGTGGGGTGGATTGTTGACCCAATGATCTGGGCATTTAAAAACTCAGATCAATGGGGCAAAGATCTTTAAAAACCCAATGATCTAGGCATTTAAAAACCCAGATAAGTGGGATTGGGTGTAGTAAATGTATGACCGGATCAGTTCCATGATTGACTTAAAACAGAAAAAAAAAGATGGAATAGTAATGTATGACCGGATCAGTTCCATGATGGACTTAAAACATATAAAAAAAAAAAGATGGAATAGTGATGTATGACCGGATCAGTTCCATGATTGAGGCAGCTTTGATCGCATCTCCTATGGATTGTTTAGATGCATTAAAAAATTATATTTGCGAATGGTATGCGAACATAATTTCCCCCACCGAGTAACCCAAAATTCATCATTTGTAATTGGAATTCCTTTTTCATGAATTTCCAAAGTAAAGGAAGGCAATTAAAAAAGGAAATAGAATGGGTTAGCTTTTAATGTGTTTCCAAACCCAGATCAGTAGGGCAGATTGTTCACCCATAGATCAATGTCGAATCGTTGAAAATAAAGTTAAAAGTGGTAGTTTACTGGGTAAATAAAGGGGGATCCAAAAAATATTAATTTAACTTATAGACTGAAAAATATTATTAGGAGGGTTTCAGAGGGTAATGCAATCCGGCCGAGATCCATACCATTGGGGGTTTGCACTTGACCAATTTCCATCCAGATTGGCGATCCCGATTGGAAGTCACCGATGTTAAAATATTATATTAAATGTTAAGAAGACGCTAACTTGTACGGCCTGTTAAAGATAAGATGGAAGAACCAGTCAGAAATTTCTTCCAAACGATACTTGCTATTGGAAAGTTGGAACCACAGCAAGACTATTAGCACAGCCAAAAGACTTATGTCATTTCCGACAGTTACGGGTGGCGTTAAGTTCAATGGTGTGACCACAGTTTAAATAGTTGCAATGGACTGAGCCCTAGTCTCGGCATTCCAATTTGGGTGAGTCCATATAGAAAAATCCCAAATAAAAAGGAGCAGTATAATTCCAAGTATTCTCTACTGATACCCTATTCTAGAAGGATAAGAATAGACATGCTTCCCGGTCGATTTGATAAATCAATGTTGTTAGAACTGATTCATTGTTGGCCAAAGTGGCCGAAGCCATCGATTTTAGGCATCAACCGAAACGAAGCTTAGTGTTACCGTTTTGGTCAGCTTCGGGTCTTCAACTGAAAGATAAATCTATATAAAAGTCATGTTGTTTTATTTTTTTTTTATTTTTTGACATTTTTATTTTGAAACTCTTTCATTATTTTTATATATAAATATATCCAATTTATATACATTAAACTAAAAAAAAGTTCTTCCCCCAAATCGGTTAAAGCACCGAATTGTTTCATTTTTTTCACCAAACCGAAAACTCCAAATCTGACGACATTGAGAAAAATAGTTTGATGCACCTAGACATTAATAAGGTAATATGATATTGGTTACAGCGTACTATAAACTAGAAACCAAGGAGAAGATTTCGTGCTGAGTCATGCAGAAAGGCAAATGAAGGATACATACCATCAACGTGCTGTACACAAGGCCCTGAATCATTTTAACCATGAGTCTGGCTGAACCAGTTTCTCTACATATTTCTACATATTCACTCTGGACATGGCTACCATGCCCACCTACCATGTTGTGGATCACCATTCTCCGAACAATTTGGTTCATTGGGATTTTGCAGCTGCAAGCCCTTTAATTCCCAAATGAAAGCTCAAACTGTGGTCGGGAACAACTGATAAATTCAACATACAAAACCAGTTTTGTGTCTACAAGGGTCTTGAATCAATGCTAACCAACTGGGCTGGCGAGTCTTCTACACGTGTAAACTACAGAAGGAGAACTTCGAAACCGCTTTCAAAATGCTACAAAAAGGACCAGCCCAATGTTCCACTGTTGAAACTTTCCTGATAGGCCTTTCCCTCAAATGGGGCTTCCCTAAGGTACGACCCGTCTTGGTATTTTTAGCCCATTTGGTATCTGCTTCTCTCGACAAGAACTACAGTACCATTTACCTTTCGGTATGTTTAGGAGTGAAGGATTCATGCAATAGGTGTGATATCCCTCATCACATCCATCGCAGAGGACAATTCGATCATCATTCTCATCAATAAGGCAAACCCTACAAAGACAGGAGGGACAGTACCATCCGGGTGGCGGAAGACTTTTCAATGGAGGCTCCAAACACAAAATGTGGTAATACTTGAAAAAGCAACCCTTGTTCGCACACTTTGCCATGTCCTTGTCACCCCTTTTACTACTTCCACACATTTTGCATGACCCCGATTCCTTGCTTCCTTTCTTAATAGATATTTTCGGTTCCTCAATAATGGATACATTATTCATCTTATCAGAGTCCTTGGGGTCGATTCCCCCACCACTTCTCTTTCCCCATTGGCTCTTGTTTCCCGAATTCCTTTTCATTCTGTTTTCCCCCTTTAGTTTCTGCAATTGTAGATTATATAATCTCTCACAAACCACACAGTGATGCCTCATGCCACCATTATCACCGATATCAGAGTGAGCCGCTTCATCATTTTCAGCAGTGTCATTGGTTGCTGAGGATTCCTTTCGAGCAGCAGAGCATGCTTGGCAGTACCAGCTCCCATGGGGGACCTCCTCGAGAGCAGGGGAGAGGCAATACATATGATAAGAGGCCTCACACCCATCACATATAAGGATACAGTCGTCATCTTCCGCATTTTTTCCACAAAGCCGGCATACTCCATCTGCGCAAGCTCCTAATTCCATAGGTGTGGGATGGAGATCAAATTCATGAAATGAAGATTTTCTCGCGGTTGACCTGGGAAGGGTGGAATTTGTTTCCTTAGTGCCCTGTTGGTTGACTTGCTGCAAAAGAAATTCTGTAGTTTTAGGATACACGATAGGAAGGGAATATAGACAAAGTACCTTATCCAAGAGCATCACACAAAGCAGAACTCTATAGGCGAAAACGTTGTATATTTGGTAGCAACATCTGAACAACTCTTGGGTTTGTAATAAAATTACTAATGAGATCAAATTACTGTAACTAAATTGTTTTTAGAAACCTTGTGTGTGTTATCAGTAGTATCTTTTCAGCTAAGTTTCAAGACATACCACCTTTGAAAGCATTGGTAGGCCTCCCTGAGTTTTTAAATTTGAAAACCCCAAGGAAGGACAAGACATTTTCCATCAGGTTCTTTAAAATTCAATTGGAACTACTAAAAACTAATAAAGCATTTTTCTGTCCCCAATTCCACCATTTTTTATTACTCGACAACGGGTTTTAATAGACAAGAACATAGAGCACATAATGCAAGAAGAATGAGATTTATATGAATTCGAAATTCTTTGCTAATGTTAAAAAAAAAAAGAAAAAAAGAATGAGATTTATATGGAAAAAGTAGAAAATATTAACTAGCAAGCAAGATGGGAGAAATAAACTGACATATTGAAGAATAAAAGTGGGTCAAGATTTGTCCTGCATATTAAAAGAACATGAGAAACAAATTTCCAAAGGAATTCTGCAAATCATAGTCACCGGAACTGGGATCAGGATCAGGAATGTTCCCAGATGGGATCAGAAGAAAGAGTTTGTGAAATGCTAGAAGGTCCCTAGGTTTGGGATTGCTGTACAAGCCCCAAAATTTAGGGATTGAGATCCCAATATTGGGGACCTTATTCCAAAGTTCTAGGGATCAAATGATCAGTTTAATAGTTTTGAGCTCCATCTGGTCAAATATTGAGGTCCTAAAGTGCAACCGTAATACATTATTAATTATTTTCTAAAAAATCCAGAATTTTAATAAAAATGTAAAAAATTCAATCATTCTATAATAATTTAATATTTTTGTACTCCTTTTGATTGTAGTTTATACATTAAATGATAAAATAAAAGTTCTACAGGTTCAAGCTCCATCTGGTTAAATAATGAGGTCCTCAAATGCACCTAACTAGGCTTCCTTAGGTCGGGACTGGGAAGTGCAAGTGTAAAGTGATAATAAAAATTTAAAATTTAAAAATTTATAACAAATTAAGAAAATTGAATCATTACGTAATAGTTTTAACTGTTTGCATTCTTTTAAGTGTCTTTTATGAGTTGATGTAATGTAATAACAATTACGCTATCCTTCATCGTTGAATAATAAAGTATCAAGATAAGTATTAATTTGAAGGTCAACATCACTCATGTCCTGTTAAAGACCCCAAAAGGGACAATATAGTCTAACACCACTGGAAATTATGTGTGCAGAAAAACATGCAACTCATATATTATATGATATTTAAGGATGTTAATGAATTATGCAAAGTAACGGTTACTTAGCACTAAATTCAAGCTCAAAGTTGATCTTGGGACCTATTAAAGAGGGCAATATAGTCTACCACGAAGGGAATCTTGATCCGACGTAAGTGGAACCTTAGTTCAGTTTATCTATGATCCACTAGATATGACGAAAAGGAACTTGGATCCCATGTAACAGATGATCTATATCCCTAATAGGAAGGAGCGGGATCCCAAAGTTAAAAATCTCAGAGGAGAAAGATTCCTCTCCTTGGATTGCACAAGTGAGCTTCAAGAGCGGGATCGACCCCTTGGTTGGAAGATCCTGTAATTATGCTACAAACACAAAATAGGAAAATGGCATTTAAAGCAGTAGTACTATTTGATTTGTCATTCCAAATGTCAAATATTTTACCTTTTTCTGATGGGAAGTCTGAAAATTCTCTAAGAGATCACCGGCAAGAACAGCCATTTCCTGGCCAATATCCAGAAGATGCTTGCATATCTGCAAAAAGTTCCAGATGTCTAATGTCTTCAGAGGAAAAATAAAAAATACAAACATAACTGAAATTGAAATACAAAAGGAACATGAAGCCACTCACAAGAACCAGAGAAGAAAGTAAAAATCTCACCCAGAGTTCCACACTAACATCATGTAGGAAGCTAGGAAACGTGCACTATGTTTTAAGGATGTTGTAACCTGGGGCCAAAATTCATAAAAAGAATTTCCAGAGAAACCAGTTCGTTCCACTTCTTTCTTTATCCAGCTTAAAGAAAAAGAAATCATAGGACATCACAAAACCTTTTATCAACAGAATAAATGTTTGGAGAAAGAGGCACTCCTAGAATGCTAGGATTGGTACATAACAGTTCAAACCAGTTCTAAGATTTAATCCCATAACTGGCTGGAACAGGTCGAAGCCGCGGAGTAATGGTCCAGGTCAAGGTTTAATGAAGGCATGAAAATGCTCACAGTTTCATATCCTTCAGTAAATAGAAAAGAAAATTCATGTAATATGACCAGAAAAGGCATACACATGCATAATTTTACCCAATAGTAATAAGCATTTCCAAAAAATAAACCTCTACAGCGTTAGAAATTATATCAAACTAAAGAAAAACAAAACTACAAGAGCTAATCACTAAAAGAACAATAATGGACATTGCTAAATATGGTTGGATAAACATGTTTCAAAATAATACCTGCCGCAAATCTGAAGCAAAGTGCTCAGGAGACTGAGCGTAAAGTCCGGATTTCATCCTTAAATCAATGAAGTTAAGACCAAAAATGTTGCCCTTCTTGATGTCATTAAAGCTCCCACAAAATAGATCACACAAGGATGTGAGCTGCTCTGAGATATGGACATCATGGAAAATGCTCTCACATTGTTCTAATCTCAGAGCCTCTGTATGATTACCCTCCTTGGTAGGAAATCTGCCAGCAATATCTACGTTATCTTCCTTGAGGACATCATTAAGGGCCATATAATTTCGAGTCTTTCCTGGCCTCTGATGATAGCTAATACCCTCTTCATCCAATTGCTCTGAGACTGGGTCTATAGCTTCCTGCAAATAACTAGTGAATTATGACAAATGTGCTTAAAATAACACAAAGGAAGCACATAATGCAGAACATATTTTGTTGTACCAGTGCCCAGTGAGAAGAGTTTCCTTTACATAGTCATGGGAACCACCCTATTGACAGAGAGAGTTGCAGTACATATTTGATTGCATGAAGTGTTTAACAGTTGTTTTAGGAAATGAGATCGGAATATCAAGTCCATGAATAACATACTGTACATTTTTAATGTAACTGTTAATTAATATCAAACACTTGCTGGTTGCTTTCGATCATCAAATATCACACCAAAGAATTGCTGGAGGAATGAAGCAAATCACAATTGTTGATTGATGCCTAGTAGTTGGGTGTTGATTGGTGTTTACTCAATAATATCTTGTGTCACCATAACAATAATATGAAGAGGACCTTGCTGTGGAACTGGATAGCTATGATGATTCATACACAACATTTTTAGGTAATAAAATAAAATAAAATCCCTAACTTTTTTCTCCATCCAAATCTTCCCCCAAACTGGACTCAAGTTTACCCATAATAGAGCAATGATGTTTAGAGTCAAGCTTGCTCAAGAAATGTAATTCGCTGGGCATCTGGCTCTGCTCCATATCCATGGTCCCTGGTGCACATTTTTTAAGAAATTGCCCATCTTTGTATGGACCTTTCAGTATCCTGGAGACAAGTGTGGCAGGAATGCAACTCACACGCAGACTCTCTAGCAAAAGGAGCTAACACTCTAGCGACGGTAATTTTTTGTAGCCTCAGTCCATTCTTGACTGTAGTGGAGAGCTTCCTTTCCTCTCCTACTTGACCCTACAGTTTTTGTACAGTACCCCCTTTTTAGGGGAGCCTTAATTTTTTATGCAAAGCCCAATCCTTTGGGCTGAATTTTGTACTATCTCCTTTCTGTAATACCAAGTTAACATTTCTCAAAAATGATGTTTAGGGAGTCGAATCTTCAAAACTTCACACCTTTCATCATTGGACCAGAAATCAACTTTAATCTGCAGGCCCAACCACACAACACTATTTTCAACATGCAATATCTGAACTCACTCATTCGGGCTGCTATTATGATCAACTATTCAGAACTGCAACCAGAAGGGGAAGACCATCCAAGTTGTTCTGATTAAAAGAAAGCATATTTGCCCAACCTTCTCAGGCCCTTTGCCAACTTTTGATGCTAGAGAGGCTGAAGCAAGGGCATTTCTAGCAGGCCTTCAGAGTTTCAAACCCAAATCGAAGGAGATTGTAGAAGGGAACTCTAAAAATGTTATAGCATGGCATAAGAAAGAAATGGACCCTAGATGGAAGTTAAAGAGTGTTTCCGGTGAAACTTTTGCAGAATTCTTTAACATCTTAGGTTAACTTCACCATTTGTGGAGGACAAACGAACCAGATAGCAGACCAATTTGCGAGGGAAAGTTTTTTTTTTAATATGTTGACTGTATTGAACAGAAAGCGAGTACAGAATGTGAGAGGAGAGGGGGGTAGGATACCCACAGACGGGTTCTGCCCAAAAAATAAGCAACCCACAAACGGGTGCCCTGTACAAAACCAAGGGTGTATCAAAAAAGTTTTACATGAATTGAGCCATTATATCAAGTCCAATCTGTGCTAGGGAGTCAAGCAAACATTCCCTAAGGGTTGCTCAGGTTGGCTTGAGACAAGGTTGCAGCTGCCTTTGCTAGGGAATCGGCCTCATCATTGCTTCTCTTCAAACGTGATTCCACAAGATTTGTAGATCCCTTGTGAGTTGACAGATTTCTTCGAATATGCTGTCAGGCCTCCAAGGCCAGGGGGACAGTGCCTGAGGCCCAGGCTATAAAACTGTAAGAGTCGCCTTCAATGGTTACATATTGCCCCCAGCTAGTGTTTAAATTCCTGAGGCCTTCCCGGAGGGCAGAGGCCTCCGCAATTGCTGAATCAGAGACACCAATGGGAATAGAAAAGGAGCAAAGGGTATTGCTATTGTGGTTGCAGAACAAGCCACCTATGCCTGCATGACCTGGGTTTCCAAGAGAACACCTATCGAAGTTAAGCTTGATGTGGCCCTCTTTGGGTGGTCTCCAAAGGGAAGAGCGTGATGGCCTCTGAGTTTTGAAGGAGAGAATGGGAGTCCAGCCGTGGAGAAAGTCAAAGTGGTAAAAGTTTTTGAACTGTTTGTGGTGAGTGGCCCAGAAGAGGACTGCTTCTCTGATCTTTTCTACTAGTGCATTCACCGGAGATGGCTGGCTTCGAAAAATTCTGGCATTTCTCTCAGTCCAGATTGTCCAAAGGGTGGCAGCCACCGAGGCTTGCCACAGCAGGGTGCCAGCCTTACGACAGGCGGTTGAGAAGGTAGAACTGATGAGATGAGGGACATCAGGTGGAGTCACCTACTGCCATTGGAATAACTGAAGGATGTCAGCCCATATAGACAAGGCTACCTTGCAATGGATGAAGAGATGAGTATTGGTCTCCTCATCCTCAGTGCACATAATGCATCTATTTGGGATTTGGAGACCCTTTCTCTGCAATTGATCTACAGTAAGGGCTCTCTCGGATCCAGCTATCCAATTGAAGAATTGAATCCCAGGGGGAACCAAAGGAATCCAAACTTTGTTTACAATAGAATTGGGGCAAGCAGGGGGGCTTCTGGGATGAGCTAGAGAAGAGTAGAAGGAGACCACCGAGAAGGAACCCGAGTGGTTGGGGGGTCTAGATGAGGCTATCTTGGCCTCGAAGGGGCAGGAAGACAGTTTAGAGTGATGGAAAGGGCTGTGAATTCCTGAAATTCTGGATCCGAGAGTGGTCTTCTAAGGGTAGGACTCCACACCCTCCTATTGCCCATCAGCTGAAACTGGGATTCCACAGTTGCATTAAAGTCACTGGCCAAGAGGAAAAGTCTAGGGTATAGGGCTTTAAGGAGTGCATTCTCTGGCCAAGTATCGATCCAGAACAACGTTTTGTCGCCCTGCCTAGGCCTGTACCTGATCATGGATTGAAAGTGTGGGTAAGAACGCAGTATGGACTCCCATATCCCCAAGGAGTTGCTATGAGCTCGTCGGGAGGGTACCCAAGAGGGGTCAGAACTGTGGTTTTTTGAGTTGATCACCTCCGGCCAGAGATGGTTGTTTGGGTAGCTAAGCGCCACCACCATTTCCCAGGTAGAGCAAGATTATTTCTTTGAGGGTTCGACTGCCCAGCCCCCCTAGAGATTTAGGTTTGCAGACATTCTTCCAAGACATAAGATGGATCTTCCTATCCCCATTGCTGGACCACAAAAAGTTTCTCATTAGCTGCTCCAAACGGTGGGCCACCGAAGGGGGGCATATGAAAAACTGACATCTGACATATAAGGGTGCTAGAAAGAGTGGCTTCAATCAAAGTAAGATGGCCTGCCGGAGATGGACAGAGTTAGTAAGTCAACTGTATGTGTACTCTTTATGTAGTCTTCTAGGGATGTCGTCATTACGACAAATTGTGTTAATACATAATATTAAAGCTTTATTATATTAATGAAACTGTTGGTTAAGTATCAACAAGAAGAAGAAGAAGAAGATTAATAATAAATAATAATAGTAATGATAGTAGTAGTAGTATAGTAGTAGTAGTAGTAGTAGTAGTAGAAAAATAATACAAAACAACTGCTGTGAATAGGGCATTAAAGGAGGCCATAGAGCCTACATCCTGCAGACAAACTTCTCCATCTCAAATATTCTGAAATGGAAATCTTATAAACTTTTCACATCCCACCCACTCATTGATCTCTTGCAGCAAATTGTTCGTGATAAAATTTACAACATTATTGATTGACCTCTAGCCAACATAGAGGACCTTATGGTGAGATGCGTCTCTATGGCAATCTCACCTACGAGTCGGATGCATTGGCAATGATCATGACCATTATTGGGCATTTTGAATGAGCGGAATGCTTACAACTTAAGGGATCAAAGGGTGCATGAGTTGGTCCTCCAGGAAAGGATTAGGAACATGGTAATCTCATGAACTCTGCTTTGACCAAAATTTCAAGGTTTCAAGGCCATTGATTTGGGAGATTTTGACCTTATCGGAACCACTTGCTTCAATCTAGGGCAGTTTGGGTTGCTCCAGTGGAGGGTATTATGAAGCTAAATTTTGAAGGATGTTCACACAGTAATCTGAAACCAGCAGGTATGGGTAGGATTTTTAGAGATTAAGAAGGTAGGAAGCAAAGGTACGCAGACCACATGGGGATATGTGAGTTTACATTAGAGGATGCTCGTGCATTGCTTACAGTTATAGATCTAAGGATCTGTCCCTTCCATTTAAGGAGTCGATTGGTAGTAGAAGCCTAGAAGGAGATTGTCTTAATGTCATAAGATGGGGCCGTAAATAGTCCTCTAGGTTATGATATTTATTAAGACTTTGACATCTGTGAGACTAAGAATATGACTTTTGTGCTTATTCTCAGGAGAGCTAACCAACAGGGTGATACCCTAGCCAGTGGAGGGGTTGCGTCAACATAGGGTTGTTCGAGATTCACTCTATGTCGACACAATTTCAGTGCAGGAATCTTGAAATGTTGTCTTGGCATCCCTTGGCCTTTGTTTTATGCTTTATGTTTTTGTAATTCTATTTTAATAATATATTTTTTTGTTAATGATTAAAAAAAGGCACTAAGCCACCCCAAATAGTTGGGATAAAGCTTAGATGATGATGATAAAAGGCACTTGATTGACATAGATGCCTTCACTTGGGTGAGCCTTCAATTGTAAAAGCTAAAAAAATCAACATTGGGAACGAACTGATAGACAGTCCAGACAGTCTTCTAAATAGAATTACGAAGCACAACCAAAAAACAAGGGACAAAAGCGATCACCTAGACATTCAAGGGGTCCTCACAAACTAGGTGACCCAGGCAGTTGCCTCAAATTCAAGGGTGGCAAAGATAAGAAAAATGTATGATTATTATATAGAAATTAACAATATAAAATGATGAAAATTAGTTGGTTTGCATCAACATCAA